ATTCCACCCACTCATTTAACAAATAGGATTGTAGAATGAAGCAACCCAAAGTTAGGAAACCGCAATATTGATGATGCCCACAAAACACTGGTCCTGCTCGAGTACAGGGCAGATCTAGTGTTGAATTTTTCTGCAAGTGTCCTTGCCTATCACTTGGTGTGTCTATTAACTAGGCCAGCCCAGAGCACCACTGCCTCCCGGACTTCCAGAAGCTGGTGTTTCTTGAAAGAGCTGTGACCTCAACCAGACTTTCCTCCATGGTCTTGGGCAAATCACTCGATTTCTGTTAAATGGACATAATGCCTGGATGGGGCTGAACTCCAACAATGCAGGGCACAATAGAAACACCACTGAAGATTAAGAAAAGCTCATTCCTGGTAGGGTGTGGAAGGTGGGTGGTGGATGAAGCATAAAGTAACTAACATTGCAATTGCAGTCCAAGTTTTCTATTGCACACAGATTTTTTCCATCGAGGACCCTCCCTTATCATGTGCATCTTATTTATCTCTAATGTGCATTATGGTGACTATAATGACAAGTTGCATCAGATAGCCACTGGGATGAAAGGCTGCAGTGTGTTTTCAGCTCTCAGTGTATTTATGCTATCTTGATTTTGGTATTACAGGTCCAGTCTGATCACCTGAGTACTGCCCTCAAACTAATGTTGCTATTAATGTATTTCAGGGTAAGGATGGCAGAATTGAAGCTCAGGACTAAATCAGAACTTCCTTACTTCCTACCAGTGCGTGGACTGTATGTGGCAGGGCTGCATCAGATCATACACTGGAAGTTATAGTGCAGAATTTGTTGCAGCTCCCATTAAAACAATTCCTACCCCTTCAGCTTGCCAAGAACCCCTTCCGTAAACAAATTGAACATGAACCAGAGTGATCCTGAATCTAAGCAGTTTGAAACAATATCTTTGCAAGGGATCAGATGCTCTCATTCATCTTGGTGGGTGTTGACACAACCCATAACATCATCTAAACTATTAACACTGTCATGGCTCTGACCGTAACTATATGCAACACAAAGCACATGTGACTATCCATCCTTGATGGATAGCATGGTGAATAGAGTAAGGACTAGGAAGGAAGTGGACCAGGTTGTTGCAAGAGGCAACTCAGAATTCAAAAATAATTAAGTGATGCCTGGCTGTGATAGGGAAGAAAGGAGATTCCAAAGATGGAATGCAAGACCTAACCACCTCAATACTAAAAAATTCAAGCCTGCTTTCCATGGCTTCTCAGGTTGCAGAAGCCCAGCTCAAAATGCAGGGAGTTGGCAGAACTCAAAAATTATTCTGGAACTAAATCAATGTTGAACTTCCATGTCAAAATAACCTCGAGGAAGCCTCTACTGATTGTTTCATTCGTGAGCATTCAAAGCTCTCTGCAGTGAATAAGGTACTGACTGATTTGCTGTACTCTATGATCTAGGGTCTGTTCCTAGCTCTGCCACTGTCAAAATGGGTGAGCACTATCCCCACAGCTGTAAAATTCACCTTCTTAAAGAATTCCAAAGTCTAAGAAACCCTAAGAACTATGCCTAATTGCTGAATTTTCAAGATGACAGAGAAATTGTGTGCAAATGCATTGCATGGCTGCAGAGTCCATGGGATGAGGAACAGAGATAACATCCATTCTAACCTTCCCCCCATTCCATACTTATGGTAGTAGCAGCATTCTCTCAGCAGATTTCAGAACTTAATTATGTTTCTGTTTTCTATCAAGACTTTCTTGCCCACTTTCCATAGCAGGAATCTAGTTGGACTGTGACATGAAAGCAGACCCATCTCTCAGGTTTTGTTTATACAGCTTTAGAAATAGTGCTAATTATTTATATAGACACACACTGGGAGGACTCAATACAGTCAACTAAGCCTTAGTTCAAATTCAGCTCATCCTAATGGCCACTACCAATTGGAACCATCCTTCAATCCAAGTAGTTTTACCAGCTTTTATTAGAAACACCAGCACATTTCAAGTTTCCTCTTTTTGATCACAAATATAGTATTTTTCTTCTTTTATGTATACAGCATGAGACACAGCATCAGGGCTTTCCATCCTTTTTTACAACAATTTCCTTTGGACAAGCTTTGGGTTAGTGTTCAGTGACCTCACCCCAGCCCAAAATTTTGACATCTTGATTGCTGAAGACAGTTGCATGGGAAGGTGAGTCCAAAGATGGTGATGTTGGTACAGTAGTTAAGATCTGAAGAAGAAGTTTAAGCAGAGACCTGCTACAGTTTTAAAAAAGATTAAGCAGTGCTGTGGCGCACTACCATTTTCACAGTATGGGGCAAAAAGTTCTTCCACTTCCAGGAGTTAATACGTTTGCTGTTTTTCCTTAAAATACTGTCCCAATTTTAAAAAAAGGCAATACTGGAGGAAGTGGTAACTTCATGTAAAAAGCCAAGCAAGCCAGGTGCTCCTAAATGGAGCAACATCAGACCATGGGCTACAGGGTTACTCTTCTGGATTTGCAGCAAATCCCCTCTGAAGTTCACACAAGCCACATGACTAAAATGTATGGTGTTGTGATCCTAGGCTAAGCGTGGAATTAACTTTCACATCCTAAACCTGGAGCGTTTCCTCAGTTTTTATATTCAGAAATAAAATAATTTAATGGGCGGTGGAGTGTGCCCATGACAACAGGATATTAGAGGGAACATGTACTTGATTAGTTATTTTTATTCCACAGAAACCCCTCAAATCTAGACTTGGAGTTAACAGCAGAAAAATAGTGTTAAAGTCAAATAGGTTCATATTTTGCTGTAGACTAAATAAATTAGCCTAGAATTAACTCAGTACGTTCTCTCTCTCTCTTGCAATGGTGATCCTTCTCTAAATTCAATGCATTTTTAAAAAAGCAACATCTAATAATTTATTCCAGTTACTCCTTCTGGATGAATGCCTGCAAGTATTAAATGTATGGGGAACAGATTATCTTCCTCTCCCCTTCCTCAAAAAGGAAACAGTCGATAAAGGGTGTGGTAAAACAGACATGCTACCGACAGTACTCCCTTGTATCATGCCTTGCCTATCAATGCCACTGGCTGCTTCTGTGTAATGAATGAATATTCATAGCCATGTCTTACAAAGAACATGATCCAAAAAATATATAAATAAATAAAAACCTTAAACATTCTTACATGGATTTTAAAGAACAGAATACATGTTAAAAACTTCAGTAATTTATATCAATTTTAAGCAATACTTTATATACAATGGAAAAAAGACATGCATAGTCCAAATACAATGTTGAAAACAGCATTTTCATAACAAAAAAACCCCAAACACTAAGTGTTAATACCATGTACATGAATTCAAGAAGGACCACCCTTTTTGTCTGTTGCACACAGTTTATTTAACAATATGATATATAAGTAAGAAATGAGGTTTTTTTTGTTTTTTGTTTTTTACCATTCTATACAGTGATTGAATCTTCTTGGATTTTCTTATTTATAGTAATTATAGAGCTTGCATGATTTACACTAGAATTGCTTTCCTCATTTCAAGTTTCACATAGAAGAAAGAATGAAAGAAAAGAATGCTTCTTCTCTACTGAAATCAGCACGGTCTAAGAGTGATCATCCCTATTTTTTTCATCTAAAACCAGTTTTATCAGAGAAACAAAGCAACAATTTCCACATCTGCAAGACAAGGATTTTTGGCATTAGCCAATGTGTGTGTGTGTGTGTGTGTGCGCGCAAGAGTCAATTCCTATTTTTTCCAGGGGTAATACTTCAAATGCCTGCAGAGTTCACTATAGAAAAAAAATCTTCCCGCAACATGTCAAAGTTATCGGGACACATTATAATGTTGCATTTTTCAGGAAACAGTTTCTGAATATTATTTTTCGTCTCTTTTAAACACAAATGTTTAAAGTCTTGAAAATACAAATAAAAATATGAATATAATGAACTTGTTTTCCCATAAAAAAGGTATGAGTCAACAGGACAAAAAAAAAAAACCAAAAAAACAAACCCCAAAACAAAAAACCCACAAAAAAAAAAGAGACCAGATATTTTAACCGCCTGGCTTTAACAAAAAATATATTCTTTGTATTGTTTTTTTAAACAGCAATTCATTCTTCCACGTGCAGGAAGCAGCAGTTCCATCCAGGGTTCTAAACAGCCTAGATGTCTGAATTTTCAGTACAAAATGTCCAAGAACATGAAAGGGGGGGAAAAGCAATGCTCCCATAATGCTACAAACCCTCCACAAATTTTTCTAGGGTGTCTCCTGTGGTATCACCAACCAGAGACAAGTCGCTAGACAATGCACTCCTGTTTGGGGGGTTTAACTGCGGAAGCATGGCACTCTGTTCTGGGTTGCCCAAGTGTCCCTGATCCATGGAGCTAGCCATAGTAACTGCAAGTCCGGGGTGGGGGGAACCAGTCTGGGGCGATACATGATGAGGTGAAGGTTGAGGCTGTATCCTGGGTGACGGGCTGGAATGTGGTGGCTGGGATTGGGGCCGGGGAGATTGAACAGGTGCAGGAGAACGCACCTGGTTGCTGAGGGATGTGGCGATCTGCTGGCCGGGGAGATGAGATGCCTGTGGTTGTCCTGAGAGCATATGCTGCTGTGGGCTCATGGGATTAGGCTGGCCTGGGGACCCTATCTGCTGTTTCATCTGTTGCTGTTGCAGAATTCTTTGCTGCAGTGCTTGCTGAATGTTGGAGGTGCCATCTGCCCCCAGGCCAGGCTGTCCCATCTGATTCAGCTGTCCCATCTGAGCCATCTGTCCCATGGACCCCCCTTGTATTGATAGATGCTGCTGCATTCGTTGCTGTTGCATGGCTTGAGGATAACCTCCAGGTCC